AATGGAAGCCACACACAGAAGAGGCCAGTTTGTTTGTTTGTTTATGTTGTTCCTTGTTGGGCTTCTTGTTTTTAGTTTTTCCAATTTAACTGCAGAAAGTATTCACAGGCAGGAAAAACATGGCTGGATTTCCTATAAGACTTTTCACTATTTAGAACACGAGTGTTGCCAAACCAGGTTTTGTTGTACTAGCACTTCAAGGCATAGTTCCTGCCTCTTTTCTAAAATGTTTGCATATGTGTGATACACATGCATATGTATGTTTAGCTAAGTAAGTACATCTCAGAACATTAACTGCTAGAAATTTTGTAGGCCAAAGACAATGCTTTCATTTCATAGATTAGAAAACAGAAGCATAACTAAGTAAAATGAGAAATAAAAGGGCTCAATTGGAATTCAAACCTAGATCTTTTGGCTCCAAATTGTTTTGTTATAGGAAACTAAATTAGGTAAAAATGTTATAGGCAGTTAGATAGGGCTATACCCTTAAGACAAAAGATGAAACAGTAGCACTTAATACTTCCTAAGGATAAACATCAGGGACTGATATTCTAAATAGGTTTGGATCACCACGAGGAAGTCGGAAGAAGCCACTAAGCCACCTGCTTACAGGAAAGGCTCTGTACTGTATTCATGCCCACTTGCTACACGACTCGCTTCCGTACTTGATCCCAATTTAATCCTTTACCTGAGCAAATATACTTGTAATCTTATTGGTTGACATAGTTGTGTCTCAACTCATGCCCAGTTTGCAACTTCCCATTTTCCCTACCTTGAACCTGCCTCACTTTGTGGTTTTGCTCTATAAAAATCCTTAGAAAAGGCAGGGTCTTTGGCAACCCGTTTTGGACCCCTTCTGTTTCTCTCTCAGACAGAAACTTACTTTCTCTCAATAAATATATTCTGCTCTTCACTGCTGCTGTTCCTAAAATTCATTCTTCAATTTTAGAGAACATGAACTCACACTGAACATCTAGCAGGAGTTTCTTTTCCCTGTATCAGTCTCATTCGTGAAGCACTGCCAATAGTCCTGTGCTTTCTTTCTTTTTTTTTTTTTTTTTTTTGTCTTTTTCGTTTTTATCGGTACCAGGGATCGCACTCACGACTGCCTGCTTGCAAGGCAGGCGTTTATGCCGCTGAGCTAAATCCCCAGCCCCAGTCCTGTGCTTTTTAAGTAGTTTTCCAAAGAGCATAGGCGCAGTATGGTGTTTTCTGGGAGGTTTGAGGTAAGTCCTTGACTGCCGCTCCTTTGGCAGGTGCATGAGAACAGAATGGTTCAGCAGTTGCTATATGGACATTACATTATTCACACTTTTATTACAACCTAATCATGAAGGACTGTGTTAGGTTCTGTGAGAAATGAGAGATGAATAAGTTAGTGGTGCATAAAGATATTCAAGAAAGAATTTTCAAAGATGCTCATAAGGAATCTTTACAGTAAGATTCCAGAGGAAGTGTGAGCGAGCTTTGAATGTATATTGAATTGTTAAGTGATAGACTTAGAGACCACTACCTTTCATCTCTGGTTTCTCCAAGTTTCTGTATTTTACATAATAAATACATTCATTGCTTTTGTAATTTTTAAAAGTTTATTTTTAGCTGGGTGTGGTAGAGCACGTCTCAAACAAAAGAAAACAAAACAAAACACTACAGTCAACTAATAAGGTTACAAGTGTAGTAGCTTAAGAAATATTGATCCAATGGGAAATCACAAGGTGGGACAAAACTATGGTGAATCAATAAGATTATAACAAGTATGATTTAGGTTAATGTTGATTAAGAGGAAATCAAATGAGAAAGCAAGTCATGTAGCAATCGCACATGGGATGAACAAGACTTTCCTGGAACAAATGGATTAAGGAGGTTTGGGTCCTCCATCAAAAAGGTGACTGGAATCTAATTAGAATATCAATCACTGATGTCCATCCTTAGGAGAACTATGTGGGTTAGTGTTCTTTTTCTTGAAGTCTGGCCTTTAGTGAATGTGCCTCTTGCCACAATCTTTTTTTGTTTTAAACACGATTTCACTATGTAGTGCAGGCTGGCCTCAAACTCTTAGTGATCCTCTGGCCTCAGCCTCCTAAGTGCTGGGGTTACAGGTATGGGCCACCACACCTGGCCAGGACTGTCTTCTACACTGAGGGCCCAGCCCTATCTAACTGCCTGTAATGTTTATAACTAATTTAGCTGCCTACAATAGTATGAAGAGGTGAGGTTTTAGGGAGGTGATTAGGACATAAGGAACTCTGCACTCAAGGGGGGATTAATGCTGTTAGAAAAGAGTTCGAAGCTCAAAAGGCTAAGGCAGGAGGATCACTGTGGGTTCGAGGCCAGCCTGGGGTACATAGTGAGTTTAAGATAGCCTGAACTACAGAGTGGACCCTGTCTCAAAAAGCAAAACCAAACAAACAAACAATACACCCTAACAAAAAACTTCCTTTCCCCCTTCCTGCAACATAGACTTACTTATGCTATAACTAAGGTGGCTATCTGGTTAATAAAATCCCTTCCAGTTCTTGATATCATTTGAGCAACTACATCAGCCGAAAGCAAGATGTCTACATTTTCAGTTACACGATTTAATAAATTTCATTTATGTTTAAGCCTGTGTGAGCTGGGTTTTCTGATAATGTGTGTATGAGTCAGGATCTTGGCAATGCACACAAAGCACATCTAAATGAGTTGCTCACAAGATAGTGAAGGACCAATTACAAACGTGTGGGAAGAAACCAACATGGACTAACAATGGCAGACAACCATCCCAGCCCTTAGCCTGAGATGACCAGGAAAGGGCCGGGTGCCCCAGAAACAGGACTTGGGAGAGTAGGATGGTAGCTACAGAAGACAGTTGCCGGCCAGAAGCAGCAGCTTCTGTGAAGAAAGTAGGAAGGGCGTCAAATAATCTACACTCTTCCCTCTCTGTTTCTTCCTGGCCCTCGACCTCCTTTTTCTGGCTTCCATTGGCTGAGCTGAGTCGGAGTCAGAGAGAAGGGAGGCTGATGTAGTCTTTGAAAGAGTTTTCTGGCACAATAGAGAAGCAAAAGTACAAAAAGAACAGGTTTATTGAGATGAGGACGTGTGAAGAAGCACACACCCCATGGTGGCTGTGGGTCTCTATGTCCCATATTGAGCAGGGGTGGTGCTTAGGGCGGGCATTGCTGACGTGCTAAGAGCTGATTGGTATTTTCTTCTTGCACAAACAGGAAGAGAGTTGCAATTAAGGCTGAGGAAGAAGCAGGAAGTGGTAAGATTTCCCACCGCATTAGACCACTGCCTCCTAACCCTACAGTAATTTATTCTAGGACAAAACTCTTTCAGTCTTCTGAAGTCTGCCTCTTGGGCACAAAGCACAATGGAAAGGCCCTGGGAAGACAATGAACATTATCTTATGATTCTTTTTTTTTTTTTTTTTTTTGTCTTTTTCCTTTTTATCGGTACCGGGCGCGCTTTACAAGGCAGGCGCTTATGCCGCTGAGCTAAATCCCCAGCCCCTATCTTATGATTCTAACACATTGCTTTACAAAGCATCCTGGGATTACTAGATAATAGGACTGTGGAGGACCGGCGGTGGCTGAAAAGATAAAAAGTATGAAATATAAATGACCTTTGTTTTGAGCATGTGGGAGAGACACCCTCATCCCCTGGGGCACGGAATCTCCCCCGGTCTGCAATCTCTCCGTGGACCGCGTGGAGGCATATAAGTAGCCTAGGTTTGGGGTGGAACCTAAGGGGAGTTAAGTGATGCACAGGGAGCCCATTGGTATTCTTTTGGTGCAGAGGTAAATTCCTAGGGGTGGGGGAGATAGGAGCTCCTTGGTTCCGCTTCTAAGGCTTTACCGGCTACAGTGTCCTGTCTGGGCCAAAACTCTTTCACTAGATATGGGTTCATATCCAAAGACATTACTACCATGATCATCACAATTACTTTATTCAATCACTCAGTTTCATTCTTTGGGTATTTGCTGTTTTGGGGCTTTAAAGTAGAGCAAAGAATTTAGACATCATTGTTGCTCTCAAGGTATTAAATGAAAAACAATCTTTGGGGCTAAAAACAAAAATTTAAAAACAATTTTAGGCTTGAGAGATGGGCCAATCAGTGTATCTGGTCTTCTTGGCTACAGTGATTGGGCCCAAGGTTCAGTGAGATAAAGGGACCCCAAAAAACTTTGACTGTATTGGAACATGTGCTCGTCCCTCCAGCCCTGTAATTTGAACCTGTTAGGTTTGCACTGCGATGAAGACTTTATTATCCTAGGCATGAGGGCGTAGGTTTGATCCCAGTACTGCAAAAGCAAACAATTAAAAGAGAAACTTCTTTGTAAAGGAAGCAGCCTACAGGGGGGTGGGTGGAGCTGGGCTTGGACATCACTTCTGAATTTGAAGACAACGCAGCATAAGACACTGCATCCTTGGTGATAGCACTTGAACTTTAATCAATTAATTAAATTAATCTTTGACCAAAGCCAGATGTCTAGTCTTTTTGGCTACTAGATAAACAAATTTCCTTTCTGGTTTAAGCTAGTTTGAATTGAGTTTTCTGTCACTGTGAGACTATAGAACATCCGAACTGATATGCCACACTGAAAAAAAAAAAATCAAATGAACTGTAGCCAGCCCTCTGTATCTATGGGTTCTGCATGTGTAGATTCAACCAACTGTGGGTTTAAAGTATTGGTTAAAAAAATTTCATCTACATTGAGTATGTACAAACTTTTTCTTGTCTTCATTCTCTAAACAATGCAATAGAATAACTATATATATATTATATATAAACATTATATTGTATTAAGTTTTTTAAATTATAATTTATTTTATGTAAAAATCTAGGAAGTTCACAGCCATCAGCAGCTCCAGTGCTATCTTGGGTGTGAAGGGAAATTCAGAAATCTAGGTGGAGCTGTCAGTGTAGCAAACCTTGTAGGTAAAATATATGCACACTTTGGAAAGCACATGTGAAGGGATCGCTCTAAAACTGACCTCATTGGTTTTGTTTTTAGCAAAAAAATGTGAAACACTTCACAAGTTTGCATCTCATTCTTGGCCAGGGGCCATGCTAATCTTTTCTGTGTTGTTCTAATTTTAGTCTATGTGCTGCTGAAGTGAGCACTGTAGAAGTTTTATAAGTAATTTAGAGATGAATTAAAGTGTACAAGAGATTGTGTGTATACAAACACTATACCATTTAGATCAGGGACTTCAGTTTAATTTTGTTTTTTTGAGATAAGGTCTTGCTATGCAGTTCAGGCTGGCCTTGAACTAACTAGGTAGCCCAGACCTCAAACTTGTAGCAACCCTCCCACCTCAGCCTCATGAGTGCTGTGATCTCAGGCATGTGCCATCATGCCTGGCATATCAGGTTTTTAACATCAGTTGATTTTGGTATCCTGGAGATCCCAGTGGATACTAAGGAAGCCAGTTCTCTGTAGATGATAGCAAGTGTTGAAGGTACTGTTTTTAAATTGCAGATTTTAATGTTCATGAAAAATGTTTGAATCTTTGTAGAATTATTGTATTTTATAGTATCTACACAGGCTTATTTCCTTTATATACTAATCTATATGTTTTTAGAAAGTTCTTATTCTTGTCCTTTATTTTAATTTTTTATTTTGAGACAGGGTCTCACTGTGTAGTTCAGGTTGGCCTCCAACTCACAGCAATCCTCCTGTCTCCCAACTGCTAGTATTATAAGCATGCACACCATATCTTGCCATTTTAATATTAAAAATAAAACCCTAATTCATGACCTGAGTATTTTAGTGCTAATAACTAATATGCATAAGAACTAAACCTGCTTGCTTATTCACTTTGGGCAGCTCCCAAGACTGAGAAGCTCAGTGGCAGAATGCTTGCCTAACTTACACGAGGGCCTAGGTTTGATCCCTGTTATTACACAGACAAACAAACAAATAAAAGGAAAACTTCTTTGTAAAGAAAGCAGCAATGCTTAGAACACTTACAGTAGATGTCATTTGCCTCCAGAGTTTGGCAGGAATAGATAAGCCTAGTAAATAATGATTTGTTATGCCGTTATTGTGAAAACAGTAGTCAGATTAGAATAAAGATTTACCCCCAAATCATTCAGGACTAAATGTATTATTTTTTGTTTCTGTTTAGAATTGTCCTTTGGAGTTGCTGATATCCTCCTCATGTCTGTATGACCGAAACAACCAGGTGTGGGCTAATTCATTCAGTTCCCCGCCCTATGAATCTTTACTAATTTACTTACTCAATAAGTGACTGGTTTCAGTGACAGAGACTGTTGGTGTTACCATAAAGCGCAACCAGCTAACTTGATGATTTAAGAAAAGCTGAGTACTAAAAGTTTCTGAATCAATTGTTGGATTATGACAGTAATTACAATCTCATTTAACAATTACCTGATCACCATCTCATTCATAAGGAAAAAACATCATGGGCAAAACTTCTTTTTGCTGTTTTGAATGAATCTGTTTTTATTTATTTGGTGTTTGAGGACCTAAATAAGTACATGCCAGAAGACTGCATTGAAGTCTTGAAAACATGGGAAAACTTTTCTCAACTAGTATTTATCAAATTGTACCAATGCTTTCTCTAAAAACTTGTAATCTCTGTTTTGTAGATGAAAGAAGACTGCCGCAGTTTCTATTATTAAAGCAAAGGACAGCACATCACTGCATTTGAAACGACTCCAGCAAACACTGTGCTTCCTGCTCAGAACTTGTTGGATTACTCACACAAATGTCACAGAACAGGTTAGCTGATCAGCCCTTTATCAGCCTGACCCATATTGAAGGACAGAAATGTCTACAGTTGTCATTCTGTAGTGTTCAGAGAGTAACTAGTTGGATGACTTCTAGTCTATGCTCCAAAGCACCGTGGCACACTATACTTTTAGTTTGATTAATAATAACATAAAACTGAACTCTGCCTGGTAGACACCAATATTTACTCTCTTCCCCTTTCAAATTTGGCTTGCATAAACACACACAGACAGACAGACATGCAGAGAGAGAAGACTATTGTTGCTTACAAAACATTTTGATCAAGTAATTTGAAGGGAGGATCTATGTAATTCACCTTTCACCTCAACCTGAGACACCCAACCTGGCTCATAGGTTCTTTTTTTTTCCCATAGGTTGTTAGTAAATATATATTGGGTGAATGAATTGTTCAGCATGAAGACTGAAGAACCGAAAGTTTTCTAATTATTTCTGAGAATCTGTAAATTACTCAAAAGAGACCCAGTACGATGCATACATGGATGATTGAAAGACACGGTGAATGTTTATATATTTAAAAGTTTAAACTGGGTGTGGTAGCACACACAGTAACCCCAGCATGTAGGAGGTTGAGGCAGGAGGATTGTTTCAGGTTCAAGACCAGTCTGAGTTACAAGACCAGTCTGAGTTACAACTGCTCTGAAGGTCAGCCTGAGCTGCACAGTGAGACTTTGTCTCAAACAAAACAAAGCAAAATGAAACAAAACAAACTTATTACAGTAAAAGACACATTTCCAAAGATAGAATAAGTGTTTTCAAGGCAAGAGGGAATATTGTGAGTATTTGGTGGTGACATGTCTTCTACTATAAAACATAAACATTTTTCTATATTTTATGATCAGTCCTCGTCAATCGAACATTTATGGCAATTACTGTCAAATAAAAATGATGTGTCCTTCTTCACCAGATCTGGTACCATGAGACTTCTGGTTCTTTCCCAAGGCCCAAATGACCATGAAAGTCATGTTCCGCGTCCTTTCAGGGAGGTAGGCAGTCACAGCAGTGCAAGTAAAGAGACGAGACAGGACTGTGTCAGAAAGTGGCGAGAAGGGAGGTAAGTGTGCTGGAAGTCCAGGGGAGAGTTCTGCGGGGGATTTACAGTAATGTGGCTTCTACTGCAGCAAGTTTAAAAGTTTAAAAATTCATAGCGTTTTTAAAATTACACTTCAGGCCGGGGATGTAGTTCAGAACCTGCCTGGCAAGCACAAAGGCCTGAGTTCGAGTCTCAGTAGCAATAAATAAATAAATAATCACATTTCAAGGCAATTCACATTGCCTTGAAAAGGCAAGCTTTAGTTGGGAACTGCAGAATGATTAGTTTAATTTTATAATAGTAAAAAACATTGACATCAACAGGGTTTCTCAAAATGGTTTGACATAATCAGAAATTTACAAATTTAAAATGGTTTGAAATAGCCAAAAACTTATAGTGTATCTCCTTGTCCTTCCACCAAGAACTAAGGGCTAATTGCTTTTAAAAAGAAGGTAACAATTTTCTTACACTAAGACTTTTGAGACTTTTACTTTGTTTGACAAGAATAAATTCCTAACACTAGGAAAAAAATAATTTAAGTCAGTAATAAGTTTTATAAACTTTTTGTAACTCTAGCTGCTAATATAAAAATCATCTAATGGGGAATGAGGTAAAGAAGGAGGTGCAATATATTTAAAGAATAGTTTTTTGAAATGAGCACAGCCTGAAAGCATTCAGATTTTGTTTTTTAAAAAATGGCACGGGAGGTGGGAGGGGTGGGGGTGGGGTGGGGAATGGCAGCTTGCTAAGAAGCTGGATAGAGAACCTCTCTGGGGAAAATAGCCCAGATGCTAGAATCTGACAACATGGAGAGGGCCAGATGATTGGAGAACAATTCTCACAACCCAGGAGGAAACTGAAAGAAAAATAAAACCAGGAAGAGAAAGAAAAGCGCGGATGGAGGGCTGAAGCCAGACACACTCACTGAGACCCATTCCATGCTGTGCTGGGAGCGTCATGGAGACAGATGATTCAAGGTTACACTGAAGCTGCGGCTGCCAATAACGCAATTGTTGAGTCCCGAGCCCTTGGTGGAAGGATGTGGTGCAGTGTGGAGTGGAGCCAAGGTGGAGAACTACACTGATTCCCGGTGAGTGCCGGGGATTGGGTCCCACGACGTGGAAGGCTGACTGGAAGACATCTTGGCAGAGCCAGGTGCTGCGGTGGTGTCAGTCAATTGCCCCTGGCCCAGAGAGGACTGGTGGGAGCAGCTTGGGCTGAACCACGCCGCTGGTCGGGAACCAATAGCCAGGGATGAAATTGTGCTGACCCCTGTGATCTGCCACAGCACAGCGTAAAGTGCTGAAGGCAGTTGCAGGTTGACTGCCTCAGAGGGGAGGGGCCAACCTGGAAGCATCCCTGTGTGCCACCTCAGATATCAGCAAACTGGAGAGAGCAGCGAGCCCCTAGCCAGCACGCTTTAGAAAAACTGTAAGGAATATAGAGATGCCTAAGACCTCCTCCACACACCTGTCTGAAAGAATCCAGAAACATGACAAGAGCAAAAGATAAGACAAAACCTCCAGTCACTAACCCTGAGAAAATAAGCCAAGGGGAGGTAAATACGAAGAGAACCAGTCCAGCAATCATTAGCCACAACATCAGCAGACATAAAGAAATACATTCGTGACTTCATAGATGAACTTAAAACTGAAATTCTAACCCAAATGAGACAAGAAATAAAAAGGTTAATTAAAGAAATACTAAGCCCCCCTCAAGAAAACACAGAGGAAAGAAGGGAGGAACCCAGAAAAGGAAGAGAAGCCTTTGGTGAAGAATATAAACAAAGCCTAGAATACATGAAGCAGATCCAAAGAGACTACCAGGAAACTAAAAACTCCATTGGAAGCTGGAAGAATGCCTTGACAGAAACAAAAGCTAGCCTTTTGAAACTTGAAGAGAGATTTACAATGTGTGATTGTGAAAGAAAAGACCTATTAAAAATAATAAGGAACCAAGAAATAACAATTCAAAGGCTGGAAGACGACAAGAGGATCTATAACTTAAGAATAAAAAACTTAAGCGAAGAAGCAGGAGTAACCACAAATGAATTACAAAGACTGTTCACAGAAATAATTAAGGAAAACTTCCCAAGCATAGGAAAAAGAAATGATACCCAGATAAATGAGCATACAGAACTCCAGCTGGCTACAACCAAAACAGATCTACACCCAGACATATAATAATCAAGATGCCAGAAATCCACCACAAGAACAGAATATTAAAAGTGGCCAGAGAAAAGAAGCAGGTCACCTACAAAGGACAAATCATCAAAATAACAGACTTATCAACACAAACTATTAAATTGAGAAGAGC